CAGGGGTCCAGGCCCAGCACTGACTGCCCCCACCCCAGTCACTACCCCACATGCCTGACAGTTGCCCCCCTAGAGCCTGCCCCGAGGTAAGCAAGACCGGACATTCCATGCGGGCACCTGGATTCCTGGGCCTGTGTGGCATGGGCGGTTGGTCCTGGTCAGCCAGCAGACACCAAGGCCAGGTGGGAACAGGTGAAAAAGAGCCTGGGCTTGGGGGGAGAGAGAGGAGAGGATCCCAAGGTCTGGGCAGGATCCATATCTGGTGCACCCTCCCTCCTGGCCTGGCTGCAGAGGAACAGCTAAGGGGCCATCACAGGCACTGAGAGGAGCTCAGCCTGATTACTGTGTCCCATGTTCATCTCCGTCCAGCTGTCCTGCTGACCAACCGCTCTGAGCAGGGATCCTGTGGGGTCCCAGAGACCATGAGCCCAGACACAGTATCTCTGACCTCCCACAGCACCATACTGACCCACACATCGAGCTCAGGCTGCTTGCTACACACCACCTTGCTGGACACACAGCCCATAAGGTGCACACCACTTGCTGCACATACCATGCCCACATACACACTCTCTAATGCGCGCACGCACACACACACACACTGCCTGATGTACACCACCTGCTGTGTACACCACACTCCCCACACACTGCCTGATGCATGCACGCACAAACAGAGTCTGCTGCACCCCCCCTGCTGTATACACAGCCTGTAAGGCACACATACACTGTGTACACCACACCACACACTTCACATAGAGCACAGGGCACCTAGACCACACACACGGTGCACACCATCTGCTGTATCCATGACCACAAGGCAAACACTGCGGACTGCACTCGGAGCCCTCAGAGCCAGGCCCCCAGGACAAAATCAGAACCAGCTCAGCCCTGCAACCCGGCCTTTCTTCCTCCTCCTCAGTCCTTCCAGAAGCTGCCCAAGTCACCAGGGCCCTGCCCACACCTCTGCAGTCTGGCCTCCTCGGGGGCTTTCCCGACCTCTGTCCTGCCTGGCCTGGAACCCACTGGCCCAGGTGAATCCATGACCTCCAGACTGAGCTCTAAGACCCTCACTCCCCCCACATCCTGGAGGGAAAGGCCAAGAAGCAAGGCCTGCCTCCCCTCCCCCTCCCTCCGAGGGAAAATGTCAGCTTCCCTGTCTCAGTGGTGGCAGCAGGCGGGTTGGAGGGGGAGTGATGCTGCCGCCGCCTCGAGAGTGCAGAGCGAGAAGAGCTTTTCCTGCCATTACCCGGCGAGGGAGAGGCTGGCGCGCTAATGGCTTCAATTACCACTCAGACAGGAGCGCTGAGCGGCGGGCCCTGTGCGCCCGGGACGGCTCACCCCAGCCAGCTTGTGCTGGCCACCCTCATCCTGTGCCCAGCCTGGCGGGGGGAGGCGGTGAGGTGGAAGGCTGGGCATCACGGGGCAGCCAGGGCTCACCAGGAGTGGCCATCCTGCCCGGGGAGCTGGGTGCAAAGGTCACAACATGGGGTGCTCCCAGAGGCTGCAGTGGGAGCCAAGTGTGAGAGAGGCTGGGCCTGGGCTGAACAAGGCGGGGCAGGGGGCCCAGGATGGGACTTGCAGGCCTGGGCTTCCTTTTGGGGGTGCATGACCCTCACCTGAGCCAGGCTGCCTCAGGCGGGCAGTCCTCAGCGTTCCCCTGAAGAGCCCAGCCCGTGGTGAGCCTGGGCATGCACCTGTGTGCTGTGGGGCATGTGCAGCGTGTGACACAGGTATGGGACTCAACCCTTATTCCTGGCCCCGGCCTCATCCTCTCCCCAGCCCTTCTCAGAACCCATGGTGGCCCCCCCGGAAGAGTGCTGGCTCTCCTCTGGCCCCAGCCCGCAGCTTGAGTCCAACCATCCTTTCACCTGGATCCTACACACACCCAGCTTTCCCAGCCGGAGAGGAGGACGGGGCGGGGGTGGCCACAGTCTGGGCTGCTTTCCTCTGGCCCCGCCCCCTGGCACCTTTTAGGCTCCCACTCCACTCCTCTTGCTCAGCCCAGAGCCTGTCAAGGTTACACAGATCAACATGGCAAGTCAGCATTTCGTCTTCCGGGTGCCGTGTTTCAGGGGCGGGAGGGGCTCCCTCAGGCCCACAGCTCCACCCCAAGCGGGGAGGGAGCACGAGTAGGACAGGGACCTGTCCCACACTCTCTCCAACCTCATCAGACACCTCCCCTCACCCTCCAGAAGCACAAACACACCCCAGACCCCTACTAGAGAAACCCTCATCCAAAAAGGCGCCTCCAGGTGGGGAGACCCCTGCAAGTCTGAATCCCCCTCACCTCAGGCCCTGAAAGACCAGCGTCATCCTCCTCGATCCTTTACAAGACAGGCTGCCTAGGAAAGTGGTGGGGGGAGGAGAGTGCCCACAGAAGCCCTGGAGAGAGGGCCAGGGCCAGAGGCGGAGCATAGGGGCTTTGGGAGCACTTCTCTTTCAGCACTAACAAGGAAGCCCACTTTCCCCAATCTGAGAGCCTGAGAAGATGCCCTCTGGGGCAGGAGCCACAGTCTGGCCCTTCAGGCACCTCCCAAATGCCAGGGCAGGGCAGATGGCTCCCTGTTGGCACAGATACCAACGGGAGGGAGGACAGTGCTGAAATACTTGTCCTTAGGTCATAAGTGGGGAAACTGAGGTCAGGGGTGGCAGGGAGGAGCCTGAGAGCACTCAGCAATCAGTGATCCTGGCCCAAGGCCTGTCCTCTGGGCTCCCGCTCCACAGGTAAGTCCTCTCCCCTGTGGGAGTGGAGAGTGGGGGCTGTACCACCTAGATGCTGCCAGGCGGCATGAAGCCGGGTACTGCCAACTCACACTCATGCCTGAGCCTCAGGAAGTGCAGTTTCCAGCCCGACAGCAGCTCCCATTCACACTGCAATCCTGCAAAGTGCTTAACTACACCACGTTTAATCCTCCAAACCAGCTTGGGCGGTAGGTCCTACATCCCTGTTTACAGATGGAGCAAATGAGGCTTGGAGACACAGTTACCGGCCCAAGGTCACGACGTGAGAGAGGAAGTAGTCCAGAGACGCTGCTCTTAACTACTGCCCTCCACTGTCCCCGGAAGCTGGAGCCCCCACCCCCATCTCACAGCAGACACACAGACGCAAAGGAGTTCCTGAACGGATGCGTGTGTGAACACACAAAGCCATAGTGTAAAAGTGGCCAGCGTGAAAAGATGTTCAACTGCTCTTGTAATCAAAGAAATGCAAATTAAATTGAGATGCCATTTTTTGCCTATTAACTTGGCAAAGGTATTTTTTTAATGATAATTCCCACTGCTGGTGAGGATGCGCAGACAAGAGACCCTCTTACATTCTGTTTGGTGGCAGAAGTGTAAACTGACACAATCTTCCAGAAATAGTGAAAGGCTTAAAAATGCACATGCCCTTTGACCCGGCAATTCACTTGCATGAATCTAGAATAAGGAAATCCCCAGGAAGGTGAACGCATCTTATCCGCAAGGATGTGCACAGCACTTTATTTATAAAAGCAAAACACTGGGAACAACATATGTGTCCAAGAATAAGGGAATGGCTAAATAAATTAGGGCACTTCCACGTGACATCCACAGCCATTAAAAATAATGATGCAGAAGAACAGTTAATGCTGAGGAAGATGTTCATGATATGTTTTTTAAAAAAGCAGTCTACAGGGCCAGCCCCGTGGCCGAGTCGTTAAGTCCGCGCGCTCTGCTTTGGGGGCCCGGGGTTTCGCCAGTTCGGATCCTGGGTGTGGACATGGCACTGCTCATCAGGCCATGCTGAGGTGGCATCCCACATGCCACAACTAGAAGGACCCACAACTAAAGATATACAGCTATGTTCCAGGGAGCTTTGGGGAGAAAAAGGAAAAATAAAATCTTAAAAAATAAATAAAAATAAAGAGCAGTCTACAAATTATTGGGCAGAATGTGATGTCATTTTTGTTACATGTGTAATGCATGCAACAGAAAACAGAATATAAGGGAATAACCCAATGTTAATAGCAGAAGTAGGGTAACAGGTGACTTTTATTTTTCCTAAGTCCTATTTCATACTTATCAAATTTTCAACAGTGAACAGGTATCGTTACTGCAACAATCAATGCTCTGTTTTGAAAATACATGCAGACGTATTCAGATTGATGAGTCTATTGTAGCTGGAGGCTGACATGTCACTCCCCACCCTGTTCGTGGCTTCCTATGTCCCCAGGAAAGTGTTGGCTTCTCTGTAAGCAGTGCCTGGTCCTGTGCGATCTGCCTTCCAACCTCTCCAGGCTCACGCTGACTGGCTCTTCCCCACTTCTCTCTGTGCCCTCCAGTTCTATCCACCCCCTACACCAAACCAAACTACCTGGAGCTCCCTGAAAGCTCCCTTCTCTCCTGCCTCTGGGCCTTGGCACATGCTAATGTTGTTCCTCCGGCCAAGGGCCCCACCCCAACTCCTACTTGTGCTTAGGACTCAGACCACAGCTCCCTTCTCCTCTGAGCCTCCTCCCGCGCCCCCAGCTGAAGTCTCGAGGGCAGGGCCCGGGTCAGATGACCCTGTGGACCTGAACAGAAGAGCTATCAAGTGAGAAGACACTGAAAGCCACACACAGAGCCCCAGCCCCCAGCCTAGGGCCCTTGCTCTTAAGGGCAACAGGGACCACATCTCTCTGAAGCCTAGCACCAGGCTCCACGTGAAAATCAGATCCATTGCCACAAGCCACGTAACCCAAACAATACACAGCTCCGGCCCCACCCCTCAAGTCAGACCCCAGACCCGACACGAGCAATGCTCTGGCTCAGCAGGAAAATACAGATACCAGGCACACAGCTGGCCTCGGCACAAGCCAAACCATCCAGGCCAGATCCAGTGACCATCCCTGTCCACCACTGACCTTTGCTGACCCCAGGATGACCAAGTCTCCTTTCGACCAAACACACACCAGCCCAAGGTGGGGACAGGGCTGGCTGGCTAGCTCTTCCCACACGTCAGTCTACCCGCCCACCAAGCCAGGTCCCTCCCTGGCACGTACCTTCGAGCACTGAGAGCTTGGCACTAGTGTTGATCTCTCCCAGACTGTTGGTGGCTGTGCACTCATAGATGGCTTCATCCCGCTGCACCCGCAATGGCTGGATCCGCAGCACGGACCCTGCCCCATCGTCAAACTCAATTACCTGCCAGAGGACAGACACGTGGTCACAGCCTGCTCAGGGTCAGCCATCCTCCCATCTCCATGAGGCCACCGAGGGGGGAGACCCAGCGGAGAGGATGTGGGACCAGACCCTGAAATAGGCAACCCCTGGCTCCTGCCTGCCCCACCCCACCCAAGGACGTACCTCGAAGCGCTGGGAGCTGACTTTCTTCCCCTTCTTCATCCATGTGATGCGTGGCTTGGGCTCCCCTGTGGCTTGGCACACAAAGGAGGCCACCCCTCCCGACAGCCCAGTCTGGTCCTCAGGGACCTTAACGAAGACAGGTTTGCCTGGAGAGATGCAGACACCAAGTCACCATGGCACGGTCACTACAGACGTGGCCAACACTACAGGTGGCAGTCACAGGGGGGCAAGAAAGAGCTCTGGAGGAAATAATAATGGTGCTTGCTATGAGCTGGGCACTCTTCAAAGAGCGGTAAGCAAATGAGGTGGGGCTGTAGTTACCCCCGCTTACAGAGAAGAGAATCAAGGCACAGAGAGGTCAAGGGATTTTCCCAACACGACACAGCTGGCTAGTGGCAGAGCCAGGATTTGAACCCAGGCATTCTGAGTCTGGAGTCTGAGCTTCAATGGCTGCACTCTTCTGTCTCCCACCCCCCCAATTCTAAGCTCTCTGACAAAAGCATGCTGAGAGCTGCTGGGAAGGGCCCCAGCTTCTCCCCCAGACTTGTGTCTCCCCCTGCTGCTCTCCATCTCATGATGGGACCCCCATCTACCCCAAGGCTCAAGCCAGAAACCCTGACTCCTCCACTCCCCCGGCCCCCGACACCAGCAGTCCCAGAGGCCCCGACATTCCACCTCCTAAGTATCTCTGGACGTCTTCCCGGGTGAATGCTTTCCCGTAGGTCTGCCCCCCACCCCGCCCCCACTGACTTATTATTGCCTCTGACAGCCTGGACGTCTCCCCAAGGTGTCCACAGGGAAACGGAGGAGCAGGAGAAAGGAGGGGGCTCGGACACTGTACTGCCATGCCACATCACCCTGATACACACACCAGGGCCAACCTGGACCACCCGTCCCTCCAAATCCCACCACCCAGGGTCACAAGAGCAGAGAAACTTGCTTTTATTAAGATGTAGCACCGCCTCGTTAATCCTGACAGCAGATCCATTTCCTATTAATCAGGCCAAGAAAGCGCTCCAGGAAGGCTGATACTGTGAGAACTGACCTTTCAGACCACCTGCTTGGCGCCGATGAGCCCAGGCCTGACCTGGTCCCTCGCACAGAAGCATGTGTGTGCAATGATGACAATCCTTCACTAAGCCATTCTGCACCACTTATTTTTATCTCATTTAGTCCTTCATCATTATTATCCCTGGTTTAGAGGCTCAGAGAGGTCAAGTCACTTGCCCAAAGTCACACAGCCAGTGAGTGGCACATCTGAGAATTGAATTCACGCCTGTTTGACTCCAAACACCTGGTAGAAAACAGCTGACACGGTACTGTTGGGGCCTTGTCAAGAGCAGGGTCAGTGGAGTCATACAGGCCAAAGCTAGACCACAGAAGGTCGAGGAGTGAGTGGGAGGTGAAGAAGTGGAAGGAAGAGTACAGCGACTATTTAAAGAAGACTGGCTCTGAGAGGGAAGATAAAGAAAAGATGGACCTAGAGGGGCTGGAAGTTGGAGGGAGGTTTTTACATTTTTTTCCCCTAAGATGTGAAAGTGAGTGTTTCAATGCTGAGGAGGAGGAGCGAGCAGAGAGGGAGAGGGTGCCGATCCAGTGGAGAGAGGAGGGACAGCAGATGGCGGAGTCCCCCAGGAGGGGAGGGTCCAGGGGGACCATCAGGGTTGGAAGTGACAGCTGCAGGTACAGAGAGTAGGAGGGCTTAGGCTGGCGGGGGGGGGGGGGGGGGGGGGGGGGGCGCGGGGGGGGGGGGGGGGGGGGGGGGGGGGGGGGGGGGGGGGGGGGGGGGGGGGGGGGGGGGGGGGGGGGGGGGGGGGGGGCCATCTTCCCAAGCACCTCTGGGCCCAGTGGGCTCTGGAGGTTTCATGTAATTATTAAGCAAGTCACTCACCGTCTCTGAGCCTCCGTTTTCTCATCTGCAAAAACAGGGGTCTGTGCAGACGAAACGTGATGATGTCTATAAACCACGTGCACAGGCTCGACACGTGGCAAGCCCTGCAGGAGGGCAGCCCTCACTGTCATGAGCACTGTTAATCGTAAAACAATCCCAGGAGGCAGGCAGTCTTATCATCCCCATTCCAGAGACGGGAAAATGGAGCCTCAGAGGTCAAACAACGGAGGAGTCATAGGGTGAAACTCGGGGACCCGCCCAACAGCTCTTGGAGCCCTTAGGGCAGGCGAGGGTAGCTGACTCAGAGGAGCAAGGGCAGCCTTGATGGGGAACCACACAAACCTGGTGGGGGCCAGGGTGGCATGGGGACCACACAAACACTCTGGAAGGCTGTCAGTCTCGCCCTTCTTTCGACTGCCCTCAGAAGGAGACTCTGGACTCTTCCAGTCTGCAGAGCCTGACCCTGTCTCAGACAGGACTCTGCCCACGTAGGCTCCTCTGGGACATCTGCCGCGCCCCCAACACTGCACACCCCTCCCCCACATCTGAGACCCTCCAGCAGCCCTACGCCCTCCTTCCGCAGTGCCACGACCTCAGTCCAGATACCACCTTCCCTTGACTGGACAATCCACCAGTCTAACAAGCTGTGTCCCTGCCTCGTCTTGTCTCTTCCAGTCTATTCTCTATTCAGCAGCCACAGTGAAATGACAGCCTCTCTCCCCGATCAAAACCCTCCAAAGGCCTCCCACTGCTCTCAGAACAAAATTTAAACTCCCACCATGGTGAACAGAGCCCTGCCAGGTCTGACCCTAGCCACTCTCCCCCTCAGAGCCCTGGCTTCCTATCCACTGGATAAGCAATGTTCCCTGCGGCCTCAGGGCCTTTGCATAAGCTGTTCCTTCTGCCATGAAGCTCTTCTTAAATCACTTCTTCACCCACTAAGTTCTGTTTTCCTTTCTGATCTCAATTCAAACATCATTTCCTCAGAAAACCTTCCTTGGTCCCTGTTGTTGTCCCCACCTCCATTAGCTCAGTTCCTGGTTTTAAGCTCTCTGGTAACTCCCTCTCCCTCTCTCACAGCAGTGCTCACGGCTTGTTACGTTGGTGTGTGAGGTTATTACTTTTTCCACATTTTGGAGGAGTATTTGACTCATAGCTGCTTCCCCACGTAGAACAATAACCCTGGGCAGGGCAGCCGCCATGCGGGCCTTGCTTCCTGCCCCGTCCCAGTGCCCAACCCAATTCCTGGCACACGGGCACGGAACGAAGGAAGGAGTGACCAGACAGGGAATGCCGGAGGAGCACGGACACTGCGCCCCTCACACCCGAGGGAAGCCTGGGGGACAAAGCCTCCTCGGGCTCCTGCCTCAACGTGTCTGCAGCAGAAACCAAACCAGAGGCTGGAACCTGCTGAACCGGAATGGCCGGGCCAGGGCGCCTGGGGGTGCGGCGGGGCTGCCGCCCCAAACAAAGACCCAGAAGCCGGGGAGGGGAGGAGGCCCAGGTACCGGTCCTGAGAGGGCTGCCAGGAGGGGAGAGGCCTGAGCCTGGGTACTGTGTGGCGGCTGGACTGGGCCCAAGGCCTGGGGCCATCGAGGAGCCAGGACCCACCTTGGAGGCTGGAGAGGGGCCAGTGCCCGGCCCATCTGCCTACCAGACTCTGGCAGGACTGGCAGTGCTGCCCAAGCCAGTACAGCCCAGGCCGGGGGCGGGGGGGGGGGGGGGGGGGGGGGGGGCAGCCCTCACCTCCACAGGCCCCGCCCTCTGCTTCCCTCAACTGTCGCCGTCCCCTCACAAAGCCCCAAACCCCAGCTCCTCCCCATCCCAAGCCAACACCTCTTTTGTTCACAAGGAGCTTTGAGGAGCAGATTCTGGCCTTGTCTCTCCCTAGCTGCAAACCCTGTGCTGACGTGTGTCTCCCCACTCCCATCCCTACACCTGCTCCTGCTAACCTGTCCAGGCTCACCTTTCTTGACTCTTTCAAACAAGAGCACCTGCCACAGGCCACGCACTGTGCTGGAACACAGCTGGGCGCCGGTGGACTCGCCACCCACACCCAGGCCTGCTCCAACAGGCCAGGCCTCTGGGCACCTCCTTCCCCTTGCACACGCCCCTCATGCACCCCAGCCCCCAGTCTGGGGGAGCCTGCTCTTCATCCTGCGGCCCTTGGGCTTCCCATCCCAGCACGGATCACATGCCACAGTGACCACAGTGACCAGTCAGGTCCTTAGGCAGGCGGGCACAACCAGGTGACTTGATCGCTCTGTCCAGGGCTGACCCAGAGCTGGTGTTCAGTGAGGGTTTGAACAGAACTTCTGAGACCACATGCCAGGAGGGGCTTCCTCCCCAGCCCCAACATGGCTCCACCTCCCCTCTCCACCTGCCCCCCTCCCCCACCCCACAGAGGTTGTGGCCATACAGCCCTTTGGGCAGCAGCTCCCAGAGGTGTGCCCTGAGACACTCTCAGGGCACCAGGCTGCTGAGCTACTCCAAAGTGGGACAGAGTGGCCTAAGAAAGGAAACAAGGGGGCTGGCCTCACACACCTCCCAGGGTCCAGCCTGGGGGACAGCCAAACTGGGCCACCTCGGAGGCTCCTCTGTGGGGAGACTGCCTGCTATTCTGTGCCTTCCCCGCAGAGTGCACACACACAGGGACACAAGCAGCACAGGAAGCAAAGAGCAGACGCCAGCAGCAAGGGACGGCGAGGCAGGGGAGGGAGCTCCTGGAAAGGCGGATTTCCCAGGCCCTGAACTGCCTAATGAGTTGGAGACTCATTAACGCTGGCTCCTGTGACCACTCCTGCTGCCCCCCAGGGGGAAACATGCTCAGAGACAACGCTGGGCTCCAGGGGGACACACAGGGAGCCCCAGGTCGCGGCCTCATGGTGAGGGAGCACGTACTAAGTGCCAGGTACTTGAACACGTGACCTCGGTTAACCTTTCCAGGTAGGAGTCATTCCCCTCATTGTGCAATAGGAAAACAGGCCCAGGGAGAGAAAGCAACCTGCCGGAAGTTCTGTAGAGGGCAGAGTCTAGCCTGGTCACCAGGTCCCATCTACCCGTAAGGATGAGGGGGAGGGCGCCGCACAACTGTGTGCAGCTCCACGGAGGCTGCAGAGAGGATGATATGACAGACACATCCTCAGCTACTCAGGCCCTCGCCCCCCCCAATATCTGCAGCTACCCCCCACCGACCCCTTGCCCTCCAGCCATCAGACATCCTGCTCTGGGTCCTATGATTCCAAGTAACTGTGCCATGACTAGGGTCCCACTCACACCTGGTCACCTGGTCCTGCATCCTGGCCTCTGTCCCACGCTGCCTGGGGACAAAAGGGAGACGGTTCTCACTGTGGCTCTCCCATGAGCTCCACAGAGCAGCCCAGGCCTGTTCCCGCTTCTTCCCCACAATCTGATCTCATTATGCAACATCCCCCATTAGCAAACGCCCACTCACCCTTCAGGGCTCCCCTCTTCCAGGAAACCTCCCAAGAAGCTTCGGTCACTATCTCTGTGCTGCCCCCAACACAGCACCCGCTGTAGTAACCCTCACTGTGTAGTAACCCTCACTGTGATTCTGAAGGTGGGTCTGTGTGGATTCTTCCCACCTAGCACCTGACACACCCATTAGGTCTGCAGAAACCTCTTCCTGCTCAGGGCCACCTCTGGCCCCACAAGTCTCCCCTTTGAGAAGCCACAAAGCCCTGGGGCTAGGGGAGCTGCCTGAGCCCCGTGTGCCCAGGTCTCCATCGGAGCTGACTCGGCATTGACTCTGCGGCCTCTGGGCTAACTCTTGCCAGCTGCTTCTCCACCCCGTTTCCCTGGCCCCCCTCTCCCCCGCTCCCCTCAGAGGCCAGGGCCCCCATTCATTTGTCTTGTTAAGAGGCCTATAGAAACACATTTGTCCGCTCCGCGCTTCACTGCTCTGGTCGTCAATTCTCCGGGGCGCCTGCCCTACCTTTTGCAGCAGCTCTGCCCACATCTGCCTGCGAGCCCCTGGCTACATGCCTCCCAAGCTCGGCCCAAGCCTGGCCACTTGAGGGGACAGATTCAAAAACGTGGGCAGCGTAACGCAGGCCTGTAAGACACACCCTGCCTCCCAGGGCCAGGTCACCACAGCCCCCAGCCTAGACCTCTCCCCCATAGCTCTCTGCCTGGGAGCAGAGCCCAACTTACCTATTTTAGTGTTTCCAGCTAGTTTCCACCTGCAAGTCCCTGGTCCGTGGGCTCTGATCTTTAAGGGATCAGCATGGAGGTTCTTGGACTCTGCTCTAAAAACTATTCCACTATGCCCCCCAAGTCCTATTGGGGATCCAGGCCTGACTCCACCCCTCTACTCACTCATCTACCACACTCCAGGCCCTGCGCTGGACAATGGTCTGAGCCCTCAGGACTCCCAGACAGACCCGAATGGGACAGACAGATGGTGGGGTGTGGGGAGGGGAAGAGCACAGGGTGAGGCTGACAGAGGCTTGATAACACAGGGCCCAGAGGAGGGCTGAGACCCCTCGGCTCAATCCTGAAGCCAATGGAGGAGAGCGAGAGATGTGAAGCTAGGGGGTGACAGGATCAGGCTTTCATCCTGCAACATGACTCTTCCTGTGGAGTGGAGAACGGGTTATGAGGGTGGAGACCTGAGGCAGGGAAGCCAGCAGGAGGCTGCGGCATCAAGAGCCCAAACAGAGCTGAGGGTGGCTTAGGGGAAGGCAGTGGAGAGAGAAGTGGATGAATTCCAAAGATACGCAGAAGGCAGAAACATGGTGACGGACTAGATGTGGGCTAGGAGAGCAGAGGAGGCTGGGAGGAAACCCAGGTTTCTGACTCGGGTGGCTGGGTGGGTGGTAAGGCACCATTCACCAGGAAGACGAGCAGGTCTGGGGGGATGAGACTGAGGGTACAGGTTAGGGCATGTTGGGCCTGGAGCAGGAGGGGAAGGCAGTTGTTCTCCGAGGGTGTGTTGTCTCAGAAAGCCTAGCCAGGCAGCCCTCCCTCTGCCCTCAAGCTCCTGTCTGAAGGCCCTGAGAGTGTCCGGGGTGAAGGCGAGGGAGCAAGAGTGTACTTCAATGTCCAAGGGCTACTGACCACACCTGACTCTCGACAAGCCTTCGCCTCCCTGCCAAGGTCACAGTCACACCTGACTTCCACCCCAACTTGCCCCTGCAGGCTCACGCTTTCTCCCAGCAGCCTCAACCAGGCCTGGGGATCACCCCCTCCCCTAACCCCAACCTGTTCCTGCTAGCCCAGCCCTCTCAAGCTGGCACCTCAATGCACTCATTACCCCTCACCCCTACGCCCTGCCCCGGGAAGAGTGCCCTCCCCTTCCCCTCACCCTACTAGCCCCATCAGGGCCCAGCCTCCGAGGACAAAGGGTGGGAGATTCCAGTCCCACCCCCTCCAGGATCTAGTCCTGAATAATTAATGAGCCATTAGGAGAAAGGGCCTGGGCGGGGCAGAGAGAGAACTGTGCCCAGAGACTTGGAGAGCGGGGTGGGGGAAGCCCTATGGCTTGCTGACCCGCAGGCTGACCCCTCAGTTGGCCCTTGGCCACCTCTGGGCTCCGGACAGGCTGGGAATGGCCCCTTCCCCCAGGGACCTTGGCTCGGACCTCGCCCCTCCCCCTCAGCGTGCAGATTGGCTGAATCTGCCCTGTGCCCCGCCTCCCACCAGTAACCAAGCAGCGGTAACCATGGCGACAGGGCGGGCTGCGGCCAGTCTTGTAGTGCCAGGCGGGGGAAGGGCGGCAGGAAAAGGACCGAAGTTCAGAGTTGGGTCTGGGCAGGGGACAATCCCACCTCCCCCCAGCACACATGCAGAGGGGTGCTGGAGCCCGGCTTCCCGCTGACCAAGCGCAATCTTTCCCCACTCCCAAGGCTGAGGGGCTGGGGGAGGGAGGTGCCCCCAGTGTCTCCACACCTGGATCCAAGGGTCTAGCCTAGGGGAAGGGCTATGGTGGATCCCACTTCCGAGCCCTCCCTGGACCTGTGGACGCATCTGGCATCCCGTTCACATGTCCATACACATTCCTTGTGTGCCTACCCCGATTCCCACACGAGCCCTGAACATGGCTCACACTGTGCCTTCTGCACAGATCTGCAGTGGCAGACAGCACATGCCTGAGCGCATTACCCAATGACCACATGAATGCCAGACAAGTCTCACTCCTGCCCCATAAAATAGGGTCACACTTAGACATGCCCCACTCTGCAGTGCCTTAAGGTGGCATGGGGCAGGGGTACTCCTTATTAGGGGGTTCTCCAATTGGGGGGTCTCTCTAGGACAGAAGAAGGTCTGGAGGGGTATTGAGCCATGCTGTCTCTCCTAGTAGCTGGTCATGTCCCCCGTCCCAGAGTCCTAGGGGGAATGCTACCTTTCGACCTGGGAGATCCTGCACCTCAAAGGGTCAGACTTACTGTCGCCATGGGCACCTGCCACCAAACCAAGCATCACGAGTGCGGGCACAAGGGGCACCATCGTCCTCCCTGGGGCTGGCTCGGGGGCCATCCAGGGCTCCAGCACCACAGCCAGCCACAGTCCAGGACAAGTAACCTGTAACAGAGAGAAGGGCAGAGCCAGTTAGCCGGTATCCACGAACATCCCTAGTGCCCACACATGCCACCTCCTGACCCCCACTCACCACCCAGACCCACGCTCAACCTCACTGACCATCCAGAACCTAGCTCAACAGACCCCCACCCTTGGACTGCACAGTGACCACCTGGGCTCCTCACTGATTCCCCAGTGACCCCAAGGATAATGCAACAGTCACAGTGCAGGGAGAGAATACAAGAGGTCTTCAGGTCATTCTCCAAACCTGAGTAGGGGGGCAGGGAACTACTGAGACCAGAGGATGTACTGGGATGTTCTATCCCAGACCTTGAGTTTCCAATAAGGGGACAGGGGCAGGAAAACACGGTCAGAGGGACACAGAGAAAACAGAGACAGGTGGAGACACAGAGAGCAGACACGATTAAGACAGAGACAGGGAGCAGTGAGAAGTTAACAAACCCACACAGGCCAGGGACTCCAGAGTCCCTGGGGCATCCTGCTGTCCCTCCTCTTCCCAGCAGGGAAGGAGGAGGCAGGGGGCCAGGCCCCGCATGCTGAGCACAGGCCCCAGAGCACAGACTTGTTAGCGGCAGACAGGATCCAGGTATAGGAGGCCTGAAGCCAAAGCCACAACCCGTCCAGGCCCGCCAGGATGCGTTCTTGACAAGTTGCAGCTGCCTCACCTGGCCACCCTCATCCTACCCAATTCCCATGGCACGTTCCTGCTCCAAAGGGAAACCACAGGGAGGCCCTAGTGGCGGGGAATGGATTCAACCCCACACCTCCTCTGCCCCTGTCCCAGCAGCCCAGAGCACATCAAGGGTGGGGGGCGGTGCAAACTTTAGGGAGCTGCATGCTCAGAACTGCTGCCCAGGCTGCGACAGGAACATGTGTGTAGGGAAAACCGAGTTCAGGATTGGCTGAACGCCTCCAGGCTTTTGCTCACAGGGCTCCTCAGCCAGGTGTGCCTTCCCCATCTGCCAGGCTCCTATGTGGAGTCTTCGGCATGGCCACACCATACACTACAGATATACTGCCATCACTCCCCAGCCCCAACGGTGAGCTCCTGAGGGTCTCTCTCCCATGTCCCCCCACCCAGGGGGCTTCAGGGGATCTGCAACAGCTCTGCTCAGTGCCCACCAGCCCTGCTCACACCTTGCTCTGGGCAGAAGGATGTCACCTAAGTCCCTCATTAATGCTCTGAAAACACAACAGGGCACGGAGGGGGAGTGAGTGGCAGCGAACACACCTTAGGGTCCTGCAGTGGTACCCACAGACTCTCGTGGGAGAGTCATGATCAGACCCAGGTGCCAACTGACCCACGATGGCAAGAGAATTTGCAAGGAGGTGACAGGACTGGAGAACATGAAGGGGCAGGGCTCAAGGATGGCTCTGCTCCTTCCTGGAACTTGAGCCCTAGTCTCAATTGAGACAGTCATAGATCAGAGGGCAGCAGGTGAGCAAAGGTGCTGGGACAAAGCAGGTAGGACTCCGAGGGGCCCCTCGAAGTGTTCCCTTTGAACACAAAGGGAAAAAGGTGGGAGATGTCCCTCATCCCAAGATCTTGCTGAAAGTCTGAGACAGAAGCTGAGCAGCAAAAGCAAGAAAGATAAAGGGGCGTGGTGGGCATCCAGCCCCATTTACACCATGCCTCGGGTTCCACCCGGGGACCACAGAGCTCAGGTGGCTGACACCAGGAGAGAGGGAGTCCCCACAATGATGTCCTGGATGGCCAATTTGGGAAGGAGGTCACTTTACACTAAGGCCCTGTCTGGGCTTGGTCATCATGGCGCTGTGGTGCAGCAGTGCAACCGACAACAGAATTCAACTTCCCAGCAGTCATCAGGCGGGGAACCGCCCAGCTGGCTGTCATGAGGGGAGGGTCCCCTGACACAACCATCCTGCAGTCCCTGGTATAGGCATCATGGGTTCATAGCTCAGCGGTGTGCTGCACCAAAGGACAGGGGCAGAGGCGCCTAGGACAGGCAGCAATACAATAATCACACAAGTGTCACTCCCAGGTACAAGCACTAGGGTGTGAACCCACCAGTGCAGGCATCATCAGGGCATAACCCTCAGGAACACACATCACAGTGGGCAAATCTCTCTGCTATGGACAGAAAAGGGATGAAGCTATACAGAAGAGGCATTATGGAAGGACAACACACAGTCATCAGGGGATGGGACTCCCCAGGACATTTATCACAGAGACTTACTCCCCTGTACCTGCCTGGGTACAGTGATCACAGCAGTGTAACTGCTGGGGGGAGACAGCACGGAGGTGTAGCTGTCTAGTCCAGACCTCACATGAGTGTAGACAGAGAGAACAGACATCATGGGGGTGCATTAGACACAGATATAGAGGGGTATAACTCCCCAGGACACTGTCGTAGAGGTATAACCCCGTTACAGACATCATGAGGTGTCAGTCCCTGGTACCACTATTAAAGGACCATGAGTCCCCGGCACAGCCACCCTGGGGGCCTAACTCCAGAACAGACATCATGCGGTACACCCTTGGATGAGATTCTGACCATGGGTGTCAGAGACCCTGGGCCTCTGGGAACCCCATCCCCAATGTGACAAAGACAAGTGGCCTTTATTTGAGGACTCCAGGGAAGCCCATGTATCTGGTCTGGGGTGCTCAGGATACTGTTCAGAAGCAGAAAGTAGGACAGACAAAGGTGGAGAATTTGAAAACAAAGAGATTCCCTCCCCAGAGAGCTTTTCCCAGCAGTCCACAGACACAGGGACATGGCTACCCAGAGACACGCGCAGACACAAGGGACACACATACGGACACATTCTCGGGGAACTACTCTGGCAACCACACAGCCGTCCGAGCCAGGGCCTGTTCCTCACCAGCGCCTGGCGTGAGCAAGCTGCCTCCTGCCCCAGACTCTGGACACGGACCCTGCCCCCAGTGTCAGGTGGTACAGGCCACGCCCAGCTCAAGGGCCCCCTCATGGAAGTCCTGGATCCCCCTGCTGGCCTCATCTAGACCTTGGCCCTGCCCCCACCGGAGAGTGCTCAGGACCACCTTTGAGAGAAGGTGGGAGAGGAGCAGGGAGGTGCAACCAGCCTTGCTGGCATCTGCCGAGAACCTTCTGAATCCAGTGCAACAGTGTTAAGAGCAGAGCATCCACTTCCGCCAGCCTGGCTGGGTGAGTACAGGCTTCCAACAACTGAGATGAAAACAAGGCCTGAACACTTGCACACTCAGGCTCGTGTCGAATCGCACTGTGGACCATCGGTTCTACCAAACTGACACACTTGGGCAGGAAAACAATTCCATGCTGTATGATATTGTACTATAACTGGATGCAATTTTTCTACATTCAGAATGGTTCTAATATATCCTTTTTCTTTGCTATGTCAGTGTAAAGCTGCCAACTGCCCTTTCTTGGGAAGAACTGTCCTTTATTCTCAAATTTTGTCCTTGGTGTTAAAATGTCCTTTCTCGTATGAAACGATAGTGATAGCAGATAGCAGTTATTTTTTATAACGTCTTCACTTGGCAAAATAAAAAACTGCCAAGGCATGTCTGGCCCCGAAGTACTTTTGGAAATTGTACTGGTTTGTGAAATCAAAGAGCCTGAGAGGGAAAGGAAGGAGCAGACA